GAACTCCTAAATGTCCTGCAAAGATTTAATGAAAAGCCCACTCTGCCCACAGACCACTGCTGCCAGTGCTGCTGCATCCCCCCACACTATTCATCACCATTTTACCAGTGAACATAAATCACTTTGGTTTTTGGCAGGGGTTTGCCAGCCATCAGAGTCTGCTGGCTTGTTAAAAAGTTCGCAGGACAAAGCTCATAGCCTCAAATGATTGCTCTGAACATGGAGACAACCAGCCACGGGCACGCTTCAGCCTCAGTCAGAGCCTTGGCACAGTCATGGAAAAGACTCGTGCCGAACATGAAGGGCCCTGGTTCTGAATACCTTTTGCACATTGAGTGAAATGCACATTCCACCTTACATACTCTGTGTATCTGAAAGTACATACATGCTACACAACAGATACAGCTCTCTGAAAAAAGTTGGTAAGAGGCACGGTCGCTGTTCTCCAAGATCCTGCTACCTTGCTACATTTTTCCACACAAAGATCTCCCCGCTACCCGGTGCCACCAATACTTGGTCATACAAACACTGCCCTCTGAAGTCATCTCAGCTGGCTTTATTAGGTATAGTATTGTAACTCTCAGCAGTCTCATTCCTGCTTTTATTTTCTTATGTACACAATTGCTTTGTCAACTTAATTTCAAGATAAAATAGGGCCTGAAAGTGTATTCCCGAAAGACAGATATCATTCAGAACTACAATGAGATGTTAGGCTAGAAACACTCAGCAGCCTCAGCTAATGAGGTGTGATGGCAATGCTGACAGCTTTGTAAAGACACCCGAGTTTTTCCTACCCTTTGTCACTGAGATGTGACTGCAGTGTCACTGCCCAGCAGATTTTTGCTGCAGCTCTCCATCTGGTTATTTTCAAAGGACTCATCTGTCAAGAAAAGAGGGAACTTGAAGTTGAGCCTGCAGAATGGCTCATTTCCAGCAGGTCATACGATACCTGCTGGCTTTCCCTTCTCCACTCACTCGTTACCAGGCCACAGTTTGAGATGCAAGACACCACTGCCACTGAAAGGCACAGTTCTCTCCTCCCCAGGGACTGTCCCTGCATTGCACCGATTTCCTGCTACAGGGTCAGGTCAGGAAATTAACCTTGATTTGAACTAACCTAGGCAAAAAGGGAAAACAGATCTGCGTTTTGGCTGCTTATTTGTATAACCTAGACTCTTGGCTTGGGAGGGAAAGGATGGAGCAACATCAGTCACAAGGGCAGGAGCAGCACAGCCATTAGCCTGTGAAACCGTGGCCACAGGTTTAGGTCCTCTTGCAGGTACTTGCCTGGTTCTTTTCTGGATATAACTGTCCTACCTAATAATCAACACCATTTTACTTGTGCTTACCTTTATTCCCTTTGTTTCTATCACTTCATCTTCCCCCTTCCACTCTTGCAGGGGGCTGGCTGTGTTTTGGGGGCTGAAGCAGCCATACAGCTGAGCTGTGAAGGTCTCTCACTTCAAGAACATCTTCGCAGTGTCCCTAAGATTACTTTGTGAAAGCAAGCACAGCTCAATCTAGACACCTTAACAGGTTTTAGATTCAAATTGACCGTTAAATGCAAAGTGAATTAAGTTTGCAGCTATGCTACAAGCAGCAGAGATGAAGGACAAAATCTAGCAGCTCGTTGATTTTACTGATGCATACAGAAGTCAGCCATTTAGCAGAATACGCCTAACACGGTTTTGAATAAACTGAAAAAGGAGATGGCATTCCAAGAACTAGTGAAAGCTAAACTAACAAAAGAGGCACAGAGAACAGAAACTCTTCCTCAAAGAACGAGGGCAGGTCACCTTTGCAGAAGCAGAAACATCTCGCTTCAAAAATGAATCAGTAAGCATTTCAAAACTTTTAGCTGTTATGGGCTTTGGCAGGAGTAGCAAGTTCAAGGGCTTCTCTCCTGGAGCCACTCTCCACAGAAGCCAGCTAGCCTAGCGCTGTTTTCAGCAGAAGCACTTCTGAGGAACTCGCTTTTACAGATGTGATAAATGACTGCAACAGCCCCACCTGCCTGCACTCCCACCTGCCCCTTCCCCAGTAAAATTCCTGAATAGAAATATGGTAACGCAATCCCTTTTACCGGCAAATCACAGGAATTCTGAGCTGGGCTGAGTTACAGAGGAAACCACAGCATGGTGTTGTGCATTATTTATTCTAAGTACTCTGAGGTCTGATCAGAAGAGATAAAGAATACTTTAGATTTAGAATGTAAAACAAATTCAGTATGTATATTATATAAACTTTTATTTACATAAGGCATCAAAATTGCCCCTTTTAACAAAAGGGTCATTTTCCCTTTTACCAATACTTTGGTGAAAGAAATGTCACATTTAGTAGACTAATAATCACTGCTATACTTGTTCAGAACAAGCAGGTACAATCCAATGTACACGATGAAAAACCAAACGCAAAAGATCTAACAATACTATTCATGAATCACTCTGTAGAACAAAGAATTAAGGCTTGTTTGCATCACAATGATGATCAATCATGCATCATTTATTCCCACAAAGAATAAAATTCGTTTCCAAATGGAGCAGGAATAGCAAAAGAAGAAGTCCGGTATAATCCCCATATTGTCTACATCAAAAAACCAATTTGGCATCTTAGAAATTAGATTGAAAGTAGGGGGGAGAGAGAGGAAAACAGACAGCGGCCCTTGCTTCAGAACCCTTTATAAGCACTTCAGTGTCCATTTGCAAGAACCCTTCAGTTTAAAAAGGAGAAAAACAGCACTTTCAAGGACTGATCTAGAAACATTTTCAGAAAGGCTAAAGTTATGGTTCCACTGACCATGAATACGAAATATGTAGAGAAAATACATTGTTTGGAATAATTAATTCCACACTGAGATCCCCAAGTAAATGGCATATATACATTGAGCTGAGCCTGTTTAATAGGTCCAACTCATAAAAATGGTAAACCTGGTTGTTTTTTTTTTTTTTTTTCCCGGCCTGATTTAATAATTCCTGAGTTTTAGATCACTGCTGAGCCACAGCAGACAAAACTCTGAATGATGTAGTGAAAAGTTTTGCAAATTGCTTTCAGCCTTAGCATGCATATTGTTCAACAACTTTCAATCATCAATAAAAGTCAGTCTTCCGGGTCCTTCATTTTTCATCCACCTCCGATATCTCTTCCATCGGGGATCCATGGCCATCTTCTTCTTTAACTCCTCCTCTTGTTCTCTTTTATAGACCTGGTAGACAAACAAGAGTTTTTAATGAAGTTGAGGAAACAGCTTAAGCGACCCTCAAGGGGGGGTGTAAGCATTCGTCGTTCAACCATTCATCAGTTTATGGTTTTCACAGAAGACAGAATTGCAACACAGAAGCAGAACTTGGCCAACATAAAGCGTAGGAGTACCTTCAGCCAAGGAGCCTACTGGCTGCAGTTGAGATGCCTTGCATTGTTGCTGAGAGCAGAACTACCTCCTTGTAAGATAGTGCTGCATGCTCCAGAACCTTTTTTTTGCTGAAGAACTAGATGCTCATGCATTCAGCAAAATAAAATTTTTGCAAAAAAAAGGAAAGAACTGCTAATGCTCAGAAAGCTAAATTCTGAGTCCCTTCTCAGCACACTCACTGTTCAGTGCCGTTGTTCTGCTCCTCACTTCAGCTGTCTTTCCATTTCAAAGTCATTGTCTAGATAGAATACTGATACAGAACTTTTTATTCCTAATTAAGTTTCTCAGCTAAGTGAGTATGTCTGCAGTACCAACTGATAAATAATTACATTCTGTCGAGAAAGGGTGCCATTGTAATGAAATCTACAATTATCAGTGAAGTCAAGTACCTAAAAAAAAGCAACAGCACCTGCATTTTTATTCTGGAAGGCAGTTTATGTAGGTACAGCCAGTGTAAATCTCAACACCATACAGGTTTATGTCATCTCAGTGTCATCTGACCTCTTCCCAGAAGGGAATTAAATTTAAGGTTCTGCTATGCACGGACAAAATTTTTAAAATATTACGGATGGCTTTATAAATACACCAGCTCAGATGTTCAGTGATCATATAGGTTTTAAGAATTTTTAGAAAAAGAAGAAAGGGAAAAGAAGTAATATTGTGGAGCTCTATGATGTACCCACATACTGAATTCTTGTTCTTTCCCATCCTAAAAGGACATTGGAAAACTGAACAATATGCAGATAGGCATCTCCAAAGATCAAAGGAAAGATAAGCTTTTGGGGAGAAACACCTAAGCATATATTTCAGCCTAGAAAAGACATGACTAAGTTTCAAGTAAGGATATGGTAGCGGTATATATATATATAAGCAATAAATCATTCTCCATTTCCAGTAATACAGGAACCAGCAGGTGTCGTGGCTGAACTCACGACCAGATGGCACAACAGACACTGAAAGTTGTAATGCATTCAAGGAGTGACCAGGTAAGTTTATTAAAGAAAAAACTCATTAAAGCAATTACTTACAAAGATATCACTTCCTTTTCAGGAAGTCCCAAAGCTGCAAACAATACTGTATAAATAATGCTATGTAGGTGCAACTGTCATGTATTCTTCACTAAAAAATCAACTGCTGGCCACCACAGATGACTACTTTGGGCTAAACAGACTTCACTTCTGGCAAATACACCTCTCTCATATTCAATGATCAAAACATCACTAGTTAGAAACAGCACGGATCCCAAGCCATGTCATTTTTTCTCTACAACAACAGGATATCCATCCTATCTTACTTTTTCCATATAACACCTGCTTTGACTAATAACATTACTCGATCTTTGGACTTCCAGATTATTTTCTAGCAAACTTGACATAATTCAACATGTGTATGTACCCATCAGCTAATCCTTTCCTGACATTGGCATCAATTTTACTATTTTCCTGTTTCTCGATTAATCCACCCCTGCCTACTTTTAAAGAAGCATTATCTTATCTTTGATGCCCTGCCAGGAGCAAAGGCAGCTCTGCCGCCACCCCTTTTCTTTTCCCAGCGGATGCAGAGCAGCAGCAACATCTCCTCTTCCCCATAAGCAGGCCAAGTTTGTATTCTCAGTTTCTCTTCTAGAAACCTCGCACCCAGATGGCCCACAGATGAGCTTCTGTGGAACAATAAAAGTGTTTTCTCAATCTGCCACACACCCCCATCCCAAGTCATTCTGGACTGCAGTTCCATGCTGTGGCTAATGTTCTTTCACTGCTCTGACAGAAAGCTTAAAAAAAAAAAAAGAAAGATTACATATTGACTATTTAGTAACTGGCTATCCATGGTAAGAGTAGCAGCTGTGCCGAATGGTATTTCACACACCACCTCTACTTGTACAGCACAGCAAGAACAGTCCCTGACTCACTGAAGGCCAAAGAACTCTCAAGGGACAGTTTAAAAAAAAAAAAACAACAACAAAACACCAAGCTAGGAATTAACGGATTAGAAGACTGATGAAATAGGAGTTTCAAGGATCCAGGTAATCCTTATTACAAATGATTACTGTTTGGAGAACAGTCTTCAACCTACTGTAATACCTTTGTGATACCACATTGTTCTAAGAAATCTTTTCATCAGATTCAACTAAGCCTTGCATGGACAGACTCCTTCACAATCACAGGTGGATGCCCCCTGACCAAGCAAATCCCCTCCTGTATCCATGGGCATGGTCAGGAGCCAGTGTCTACCAGTCCCTGAGCCCAAGAAGTCAAAGAAGATACAGCGAGTGGTTGGCTAACAGTTTTCACTTTAGAAAGCAATAGCTAAAACTGAAGCAATGCTTCACACAGCCCCGTGCCAAGCACCTGCACAAAACAGCTGTTCTTACTCTGGGAGCACTGGGTAACTAACATTAGCTTTTCTTCCACCAGGGCTACCCACCTCATAGTTTTCTCGGATCCATAGCTGCCGTTCAAGAAAGGTCTCTTTTTGATGATCTTCTAGGCTGTCAAACTGAGATTGAGACATCTTCATGTACCTTCGTATAATATATAGCTTCTCTTCCACACCGTACTCTTGCCCTTTAATAGTGAAACAATAAATCCACCAACCGTACCAAACTACGTATTTGCACAAGTAAAAAGGAAAGAGAAGGATCTGAAATAGAAGGATATCATATATCTTGGGCTTCTGATAACCGCCTTTTATATCTATTTTATTTTTAATAATGTCTTTGATGATTTCTTCCTCCTCTTCACGAATTTCTTCTTTAGACCGCCTGTTCTTGCCTTTTTCTTTAGTCTTGTTGAGTAAACCTTGTTGCCTGGCAATCTCAGTAGCCTGTATGCGGTATTTTGGCACTGTAGCTAGGTAGTTGATCGCTTCATTGTAACTACTCCACCAGCTGAAGAACTGTAATTGCAGAACAGTAAAAGTAAGAAACGTCTTTAAAAACAGACACATTCCTATTTGGAGGTTTGCCAGAAAAAAAAAAAAAAAATGCTGCCATACACCTTTAACCGCAATTATGTGACAGGAAGGGTAAGAACTGAAGGTAACAGTACTTCTTCTGCAGCGTTACAGAAGCTATAATTATTCCTCCAAACTTAGTAAGGCACCTGGAAAACAGATGTATAGGTGTATATCTCACAGCAATATTACAATGATGAGGAAGGACAAGCAGACACTGATCAGATTGGTTCTGTTCAGGAGAAGATGGTAATCTCCTGAAGCTTAATGCTAGGTGGTGCTGGCCATTCTCAGAAGCCCCCTCGGATTTCTAAATAAAGTAGCTGGTATATGAACGTTTCATTATGAAATTGTTACCCATTTAAAGTAGTTAAATAAACATGGATTAAGTACATGAAAATCTCATTAGTCTGACAGGATCATGATCCCTCTCTAATCTCCAGCGACCTTCTGAATTTCAATGGAGAAAGAAAAAAAACCAAACCCAAACCAGAAATATAGTGCCTGGGGTGAACATGTCTTATTGGGGCAACTTTTTTAAAAAAGCAGCATTTCACACCGTTCACTAAGACAAAGGGCAGACACATACAAATTATAAAACCTTGAGAAAGGTCAAGAAGCAGAAACAACACAAAGCAAGAGAGAGGCAAATCAGTTTACACAGATGTTTACGCTGAATTAGCAATCATCTGGCAGCTAGACTGCAGGAAAGTGAGTGTCTCCAGCCAAAATAAAAAAATAAGAGGCGAAATGAAACTTTGCCATTGGAAGCAAGTCTGAAGAGAAATTAAGTATTTGGCTGCATATGCCACTGGAATTTATTATTCCAAGGTCTTAAATTCTGATCAATGTATTTTTGTTTTAACTTCCAATATCCCACTAAAATGTGAGCTATCTGCACCATGGAATGAGCTGTATCTTCATCTCTAAAAACTTTCGGGGCATTCTTAATGACATTTGGAACCAGTAATCTAATCGATGCTGAAGAATAGCGTTATGCACCTTCTTCCACTTAAATATTTGCCAGCAATATCACAAGTTTTCTCGTGTAAAACACCGGCTGTTTTCTTGACCTTGGAACTACCACCTTCAGAGCAAACTTTGCTGAACCAAATTAATTTCTCCCCTGAATTCACTGTGGTGTTTAAAACACACTGCAATTTAAGATTAGTAAACTCCTGATATTTAGTCTTATCATCTGAACTGAGTCTTGAATTTAGTTCGCAATTAGTCTGGTTTTTAAAAAAAAATTACTTATGCAGCTTGACAAACTGACACACACTTATTTGCAGCACTAGTCCTGCTTGTGCTCAGGCACAGGCTATTCTCAGCCTGCCATGAAGAACTAAGCCACGTCTTTAGACAAGCTGCACCTCTCTCTATGAAATATCCTACCGTTAGGAGAAACTAATCTCTGCCTTGGCCCAGGGTACCAAGGGCAGCCAAAAATCTGCTCAGTACATCCTGACTTCAGATTTGTTACAGACGCCACACAGAAGTAGTTTACCACAGCAGATAGGAGTGGGCCTCCTCACCCACACTGTTTAATACCTGGCACGTTACAAGAGCTGCAGACACTTCTCTTCCCGTTCAGAAACTCACTGAGCAGAGTCATGTAAACATGAAATTTTACCTGAAACACGGAGATGGCACACACCGTAACTAGAATCACTATTCTGACATCCACTTTTGGTGCCAATCTCCTGCTGTAGTAGTGATAATAATGCCTGTAATACTCTTCAGGATGATCCAACATGTAATCATAGTCTTTACGTGTTTCTTCATCCTGCAGGATGACACAAAAAACATGCATAGGTTCAGATTCCTGTTCTCACTTACTCCGTTATAGCTGTGTTTTACATCTCATTAACGACCACGCTGCTATAAAATTTGCAGTGGCTTGACTGAGTATGAAGCACAGAGGAAAACCTTTGGTCCTTTTCTCATATTCTCAAGTAATTTGTTCTCACACTCATCTGCCCACACACATCTGCCATATGTGGTCTTAAATGCATAAGCACACACTGCGTGAAGACATTTAATACTGAAAGAAAGATGGGCAACTGAAATCCATATAATAAGTATTTTTAACTTCAGAATGGGAAATCCAGATGGACTGGAGTTAATAAACATTGTTCAGAAAAAGATTTTCCGATGAAGAACTTATTAAGAGATTGTTTTACAAATCTTTTACAATTAACGTACAGGGCTGTGAAATCCGTTCCATGGAAGGCTGTTTCCAAACCTCACTGTTCTTCATTTTCTCTGAGTTTTTTTCCCATTTTCACCCATGTAACTGAGAGATGAGAAGTTTAATTTTGTCAGCCTCAACTGCATTCCTTTCCTAGCCCCCCAAAAGCTCCCTTTTTTCTCCCTTGCAGCCTTAAAACAGTTAGAGGTTTCTTTCTCCCCTTCCTGCGCCGCACCTTGGCCAGAGCACTCATACTTTGCCCTGATAAGCCTTCCTTACCGATCCCACACGCTACTCAAGTCCCCATTAGGTACACCTCTAAGATAAAATTAGCCGACCGGGCTTTAAACACCAGGGGTTTTTTAAGAGAACAAATTCTGAACGCAAAGGGACCTTCAAGACGACTCTGTCGGGTCTCGGACTGGCTGCTGAAGGTTTTTAAGGGTTCCGTCCGTGTCGTCGTC